CACACTTTGTTCTTCGGGGTTTGAACCTCTTGGCATAGCTTATTATTAAAACTCAAATTTAAAATAACCAATTGGAACTGTTAAGCATCAAAATTATTCACAATAAACAATTTGTTAATATAGAGCGATAAACGAAATAAATTAATTGAACAATGTCTATAATTTATAGAACTGAATATTTAATTTAACTTAGTCTAGACAATGACCAAAGACTTACAGTACAAAAGCTGCGTGGGCGACCGATAAGAACGCGACGGCGGACAGGAACATTCCGATGCGATAAGGACGTTGTAGTACGACTCCGTACGGGCTTGAATGTTCTTGAATAATAACTTGAGTTATACTTTGGTTTTCAGGTTCAGGATACCTCGATGAACAGTCACGTAGTGAGATAAAGGCCAGGTAATTATCTCGTGATGTCTTCCTTGCAGGTTGTGGCTCGGGGAAACTTCGTAGAGCAGGTAAGAAATTGCGGTACAGGATGCAATTAATTCTTCTTTTCAGCACGAAATTATCCTTTCGAGGATCTGGATGAATTTGTAGCACAACACTTCAATAATAGCACGATCCGTTTTATTTATGACACTTGTTTTCTTCACTAACACAAGGTGAGTTTTTTCAGGATAAGAATTATAGATTGTTTATGATAGGAATCCGGGGCGAGTCCGTGACACGGCGCCTGGGCACTGGGAATTTCCGGATCCCACCGCTGCCACCAATTTGTTACGCGGATAATCGCGAATGGTTTTTTAAAAAAAATAATATTTTAATCACACTTAAACTTTATTGTAAGAACAATAGAAATATATATAGATTTATTGGATAAAGACGTTAAAACGATCTTTAGGCAACCGCACTGAATGGAGGATGGACACGGACTGTCGGATACTAACCGAGGAGACTAGGGCTTGAGTTCTATAGTGCTGACCAGACATAATGGTCAGTAGGAGCAGCAATATACCTTACATATATCAGATATAACAGCGCGCATCACTGTAACACAAAAATTTACTTTTGTGTTTACCGCACATTAAGAAAATCTACCAACAAAATAGAAATAGAATCTCTATTTAGTGGGTGCTAACGACTGCATTGTGAAGGCCTATCAAAAGTATTTATTAATCTAGAACAACGGAACCAAAGCGCGATTCAGGAGACTACAGCGCCATCTCTTGACCATTGGTGTAGTAGAACCAAAAACCACATCTTTATTTTTTGTAATAAAGTAACAGTTATAGGTATTCATATTTATAATATCAAAAGTATTTATTAATTTGGAACAACGGAACCAAAGCGCGATTCAGGAGACTACAGCGCCATCTCTTGACCGTTGGTGTAGTAGAACCAAAAACCACATCTTTATTTTTTGTAATAAAGTAACAGTTATAGGTATTCATATTTATAATATTTATCCACATGTTTCTAGTTTGTATATTCGGAATACGTGTTTGAGTTTCATACAAGTGCAAATCACATATGTTCTAATAAATTATATTCAGTAGCGATTTTAATTGAATATTTTGATTATTTATTTATTTTTTCAAATTAAAACTGAACTTTATTGACTGTGTCCTTTTCCAGACTTTTTATTAATTTATTGTAATTAATTATTTGCATGCAATTAAAAACTAATTTTAAACGATGCCAAAGAAGGATAACTTCTCACGCGCCTACATAAGTACACGCACCCATTTTTTTTTTATATACCTACCTTCAGAAAATCTTTAGTTAGTAGATATTTTAACGAATCAAAACTGAAAACCAAAAAACGCCCAAACTTAAAAAAAAGCTATTATTTTTACATTTTTTTTTGATTGAAAATAAGGTTACTTTTTAGATATACATACACAGTTAATATAAAATAGGGGGGAAATTAATAACTGGAATAGATTTTATTAGCGTGTTTGGGATATAAGAAGGTAAGATTTCACCAAATTTTTAGAATAAATAATTTAATGTGGGAGACAAAAATAAAAAACCAAAAAGCAGACTATTTAGATTTTTCGCACATATTTTTAAGTTCTGTGAAAAAAGTGTAACTACAAAAGTGATCTATCTTCAACCAACGTTTTTGTAGTTTTCCCGGAAATCGGGATAACTGCTTTTGACACTAAAAAGTGTATCCCTGTACCCTTCCTAAATTCACTCATAAATTATATTTCTTCTTTTTTTATGTTGTAATCCTTTTGAAATGAGTTTAATGCTGTTCAAAATTTGTTAAAATTCATAGTTTATGTAATTGACTCATAATGTCATTGAGAACATCCAAATTCCAACCGTATCGCAACGTTAAGGGCATTTAGGATTTTACATTCAATGTGCTATTGTTAACCAGTTTCGTAATTTGTGGTTGCTTAGAAACTGCGATGCCACAACTACTATAACTAGCACACGTTGATAAATTTAAATAGCAGTTTAGTATTAGGTAAGCTTTTAATGGTGGTTGTACCAACCCTTGTGTAACAACCCTTGTTCATGGTTCCGAGTCAATAGGGAATCTTTAAGCTGCTTACGGATAGCGCGTTCCAGTGTACGCGCAGTCGGCTACGCGTTCCTTGGAATTCCGTATAAATATTTGAAGCTACGCCCTACACGAGTTGCTATGAGTATGGATAGCGCGTTCCAAAGCCGTAGTCGGCTACAAGTCGGCTACGTGTACTCTGGAACGCGCTATCCGTATACAGCTTTGTAGTTCCGCTCTGTCTGTCCGACCGTCTCTTTGACCGCAACTTAGCTCGGAGAATTTGTACTAAAAATCTATAATTTTGCATGCTAACATATCAGCCAAGCTGGCAAAGTGTAATTATGAATCAATGTCGATCATGAATTGCGTTATAGAAGCACTGGTTGACACGGACACTTAGCACAGTAAGGTAATGAAATGAAATCATCAAAAATGTATACTAACAAATTTCTTCAAGCAGATTTCCAAACATATAACAGAATAACAGTTTAATTATTTATGGTAAATGATAGTTATGTAAATGATCAATCAAAAACTGAGTTCAGGCATATTGCGCAGCAAGTATCTTGCGCCATTACTACATGATTTAAATTCTAAGATTGATTTTCGGTACATTAGTGTGCATTCTAATGGGTCAGAAATGAACTCCTTAAATCGTGATTATAATCATTGATTTTCAAAACACATTCTGTTTCGATTGTGTCGTCATCAAAGAGCGGGCGCTGTTTACTATCACTATTACGATTACGCATAATTTCGTTATTTCTGGATTAGAGTATTTTGAGAATAACGTTTTCTTGGAATGATTTAGTTCTGGGAATATTTGGAGTAAATACATATTTATTTCTTATGTTTTTACGCACACCACTCATTAAATTAAAAACACTTTTCGAGAGTATTATTTTGAATTACTTAAGTAATGAAGGGTGCGAAACGTAGAGATATTTATAAAACGCATTTTAAACCCGTTGAAAAGTGTTTTATTTGATGAATACATGATTCTACCTCAGAGGGAAATAGATTTGGTGAATTCAGATAATTTCAGGCTAAAGTGTTCGAGATAAAACACAGACACAGATGACGATTGAATGAAGATGTATGTACCTTGTACGTCTCCCCATTGTTAAAAGGCCTAGTTTTCTTTCATATAGATCATATCTGTTTGATAGATTGCCGCGTTAACTTCTGTAACCTTGTTCTCACCGCGCCGACCGGCTCTGCCAACTCTGCCTGACGTATCTTGCGTTATTACATTCAGTTCTTTTATTAGTGATTTGTTTTGTTACATAGTCTTTCGGAAAAGCTATGTGGAAAAGCCTAAGATATACAGGAGCCATCAACATAAATGATTGTCAATGAACAAGCAGCGAACGACCTTTACGAAATATAGTTTTTGAGAATGTACTCTTGATTATCGTTATTGTAGTAGCTATTTCATGACTTGACTATAATTTACACAAATTCACTTAAAATAAAACAAAAATAAGTAAGAAAATGTTTTTATAAATTTGTTATAAGTATTTACGATTATAAACGGACTCTGTCGCTAACAGTCAGTAAAAAATTACCTTTTTCCAATAAAAATAGTTTCAAATGGGTCATGCATGAGTCTCAATAAGATAAGAAGGTTGGATGTCATTACTTTCGATGCTAAAAATTATGCAATACTTTAGATCCCAATAAAATTGAATAATCAAACACGTACCACAGAAACTAAGGTGCGTGTGCCCTAAATTTAATCTATGTTTGGTCACATTACAGGCAGTTGCAAAATTTCTATTGACATTGCTATTTGAATGTGTAGCGTAGAACGAATAAATTTTATGGTGTAGGACCTATTACGTATAGTAAGTGTGGCATGCATAATATGAAGAGCTACCTTTTTAGAAGGTTCTATAATTTAAGATAAGTAATCAAATAAAAGAGAATGCTAAAGAAATATACTTATAGCCTGATATCGACTAGGAACTAACCACTAAAATAGTAAGGAATGATAGGAATCATGATAGGACCGACATATACATTTTACAAAAGAATATTTAAACTGAAAAACGATAAATTTTTCCTTGGTATATATTTTTGAAAAATGCTCTGTTTCTTTTCTATTTTAACACTTTAATCAACCACGATTTTAAGAATTTCGACCCACGTTTGTATAAATAAATAATGGAATAGATCGATCTCTTTAAAGAACTCAAAAGATTTCCTATTCGATAGTTTTATATAAATTTCAACTCCTAAATTTCAAACTGGATAGATTCATGACCGTTAATTGAAGAGCTCAATGACTCAAACTTCTATGGCTTGTCATTGGATTTCCAAATAAAAATATAAAAGTATCTTGAGCTCTTCCTTGCTTCGGAAAGCACGTTACGAACTTGGCCAGCTTGGTGGGTATTTGGCCACGTATCCATTCTCAAACATTACCCGTTGATATTTTTATTGTATGTACATAGAGTAACGCGGCCATAGAAAAATCCTAAACGGTTTGAGTAGCTTAAATTAAGCAATAATTGCTTTAAAAACATAATTTTACCGTCTGACAATGCCAGCGCAGGCGCATACACAGCAACCGATGTGTAGAGAATCATTTGCAACATGTAGAGAGCGCTAGCGTACACCCGGATAGCCTTGCAGAATCTTATCTCCTGCAAACATCACCTTGAGATGAGTACAACTTGAAAATACTTATCGATTGGTATCTTTGGATTTTTATTACCAAATATTCGTAGCATGAGGTCAGCCGCAGTCTCATGAAAACGGGAAGGTACAATTTGCTAGCGATCGGTACTACCAATATAAAAGCCACACAAATCATCCAAAATTGCGCTCCCGCCATGTACATTTCAGCAGGATTGCCAAGCAGTTCTATTGCTGTAATGAAACTGAAAAAAGAGATAACAGTATTAACAGAGTTTAAGGAGTATTTTTTAGTAATAATAAAGATAGACCAGAGCCGATATTTTTGAGAGCATAAAAAATCGGAACAGAATGAAACCTACACCAAAATGAAGAAAAGACATAAAAAAAATATACAGTATTGTTGGAGTTTACTCCTTAAGAATCGATTTGCATATATAAGGGGCCCGGTATGAGAAAAATGTGAGGAGTAAAATCTATAGATGAATGACCTCGTTACGTTTTTGGTGCGTATCCTATGTCGCGCAACTTTGACAAACCAAGATGACGGATTGACATTAATAAAATTTTTAAAATCTGAACTGAATTAAGATATTCTTTCTGATAGAGCAATGGGGACAACGAGGTATGGTACAACCATTGATGCGGTATTTTCAAGATTCGTGAACCACGTATCTACGAACGTCCATGTGTCTTATTTAGTTACCATAAATAACTTATCACTGTAATTAATAATGCAGACAATGTTGATTTAATTAATATTTAAAAAAATGATAATAGTCTGATAATAATAATTACATAATTTATCAACATTCCTAATGATATATTTATGCACATCTGAAATTGACTATTGTAAAAAGTTTAATGTAAAATATTTCGTCGATTAGTTATAATAAATGTATATGAAATGAATAAATATATATTTATATATGTATATTATTTTCATTAATTTGTTAATTTACCCTTTCATACAGTATCAATCTTTTTTAAAGTTAAATAAACTCTTTTTGCGTCTGGTTAGACTGTCGGAGCTGACACACACAATTTTTTATATTATTTGACATTCACATTTCGACTCGGACTCGCAAACGTTACTACTGTCGTACTCGAATTCGATATTGGTTCGTGCTAAGGGTACTAATATAATTTTCCATAGTAATGTATATTTTTTGTATATCACCAGAAAGTACAGGAGGCGAAATTTCGTTTTTCGTTGAAATCTAATGTATTAAATTTCGCATGTTCCTTACTCTGTTTCTTTTTCGTTGCGTAGCGAAAATTCGTTCGTCCGAAAATAGTTAGACAATTAAATTCTCCATGCCTACTCTAATTCACAAAACTTTCGTACGAAAAGTTGGAATTGATAGATAATGGTTCGCAATTTTAACCTCAAATTGACGAAATGAAAAGTGTTACCTTTCCCTTTTTTGTTTTGGGATTTTTGTTTAAATTAAGCCTGAAATGACTGCTAGATCATTTCTCATCAAGGCTGATTAGCGTGAGGAACATTTTTGACAAGTAAAATTAACAAGTAAACCAAATTTGTATTAATAATTGTATTTCCAATACTTCAAAGTATTAAACAACGAAAGGTTGTGCATACATTCGATTGCATCAACTCTACAAATTAGGCGGCTAACAATGTCAAAGAAGTGACAGTTCTTTTAGTGTCTACAAATTTTTTGTCGTAAAGTAATATTGTTTCCAAGTAAAAAACGTAATCGAAAAAGTACAGATAAAAGAACTCGCAACCATGACTCATCGTTAACGAATTTCACGAAAAGTTCGAAAATGAAAAATAGAGTAGAGTCACTGGGGAAATTTGGTTTAAAATTCGTTCGTTGCCGAAATTTCGTTACTACTCTCGAGAAAGAAAGTAGAGCTCCAGGACAGAACAAAAAACCAACCAACTTTTTAAAAAGCAGCTTTTTGACGGGAGATTTTTCTTTTTTCCAAATAAAAGACAAAATAGTTAGTTATTATGAATTTTCGCGGATATTTTTAGGTTATGTGAAAAAGTGTAGATACAAAACTTTTCCTCCTTAAAGGGTCTCCTCCCCATCCTTCCCGACCTCAAATCCCAGTAGTTTAATTTTCCTCTGTTTTATGAGTTCTCTTCCTTTTGCTATGAGTTTTTCCCGTTCCGATTTTTTTTCACTTTTTACGATTTTGGACTAAGAAGAAAGAATGTGTACACAAATAATACATAATTACTGTGCTTGTGGTTTTTATAGCTCCCATGGTAATAAAACAAAACGTATAATATATGTACTTTTCGCTTAAAACTTGTCAGTCAGTAAATAGTAGTGAAAATGCATAACAGAACCTTTATAACCGCGTTCTAATTAGTTAAGCTTTCGTCCGCAACTTCGGCTCTGTTAATTATAGTATATTCAAATTTCTTAATTTTTTTCGTATTATAAAAGTTATGCAAAGTAATGGCGTGAGAAATGGAAATAGGGATTCAATTTTATGTATTAAAAATATTAAAACAATTCTCTACCTCGCAGCAAGACTCAGGGCTGTGGGAAAAGTTCCCATAGACGATCCACCAAGTAGAAAATCATCACCGGTCGTTTGCTTTTCTCCACAATATCCGTAGAAGATACCGATGGCACAAGAAATGATCAGCATAGCGGCTAATACACTGTAATCTTCCCAACCAAAGAGTCCACTTTCCGCTGTGACATTAATTTTATGCTCTGAAATATTTGGTCTGCTTGTATTGTGTCTTGTCAAATTGGGTGCTGCTGTTATAACATTTAATGAATTTAAAATCCACGTGATTGTCAATATAAAATGAATCTGGAACAAAAACAAGTTTTTACAAGCCATTCCTCTTTTCTCACTTGTGTTATACATACACCACTGTCGAAGTATTACCGTTAGCCTATTAAGGTACAAAATTGTAAAAAATAATAATGTTTTAACAGGGATGACCCAAACCCATATAAAAATACAGACCCCGCGTATTGAGAAAGAATGTCTTTCTATCGAAGTATGTGGTAAACATTCATTATGCGTGAAAACTTTATCAAAGTGTCCCGTGTGTTTTGAAAAAGTAGTATTTGCGATTATAAATGACACAATTCTGAATTAAAATGTCATCAATTGTGAGTTAATAAAACTTAAGAATTATCATCATCACCAGCCGATGGACATCCACTGCGGGAAGTAGGCCTCTTCTAGGGATTTACACACATAACGGAAGAAAGTCACATCAAGAATGTTTCGCGGAAATACCTAAGCAGTTTAGGTACATCCAGGGCAGGCAGGATATAGGTAGGGCAGGCGGGGTTGTGGCTCACAAGAGGAGGCCCCCATAACAGAGATAAAAGATTACCAAATTTCGAATGTTATTTTAAAATACGCCCACGTTAGGGGCTTCGACTTCTTCGTTGCCCACATCTCACCTATAAATGGTCCGGCTCTGAGTAAATCTTAAGCCGGGTCTCCAGCAAAAATTTTTTGAACATATTCAACAAAAACATGTACCTACACAAAACTTTGTTTCTAAAACATGTTTCTCTACACACGTCGTCTACTGCTCACGTGGCTGTCGTACTCGAAATACTGCGTTCTAAACTTACGATCCAGGTGCAACAAATGTCAAATTTGACAAGTCTCATACGTTATGTGAAAAAAGTGTAAACCTCAGTGTGAATTGTTGTTTGTTGCATTTGAAGCGTAGATTTTTTTTTTATACATAGGTCCGACAAATGACTCCACCCCACCTGATGTTAAGTGAAGGTGAAGTCCAGACGTGACGATAGCTGATACAGCAGTTTTACCTGCCACACCAGCCATCTTCACCCTGCCGGCCTGCATGTTGCTTCTTCACGCCTCTTTTAAAGGATCCCAGTTTGTAAGAGGGAGGGAACACGAGAGCGGGCAGAGCATTCCATTTACGGATAGTGCGACAAAGAAATGAGTCACCAAATTTCTTTGTACGCGTTGGAATTGTGGCCACAGTTAGACAATGACAACGTAGGCCAGCGCGCGTGGTCCTCTGAAGGAAAGGAGAAGGTGGGTTAAGAGAGAATAACTCCTCAGAACACTCGCCGTGGTACAGACGATAGAACGCGCTTAGTGACGCCACGTCACGGCGTAATTGAAGAGGCTCAAGGTGTTTAGTCACCTCCTCATCGCCTATGATGCGGATCGCGCGTCGCTGTAACCTATCCAAAGCATCGAGCAAGTACTTAGCGGAGCCATCCCAGAGGTGCGAGCAATATTCCACGCAGGACCGCACTTGCGTTTTGTACAACAAGCGCAGTTGATCGGGCGTAAAAAAACGCCGCACCTTGTTCAGGACTCCGAGTTTGCGTGAAGCTGTTTTGATCACGGTTTCGATGTAGTTCTTTGGATTCAGGTCTGAGCAAACTTCCATACCGAGCATGGAAATGTTGCTCTGTAGCGGTAGTGTTGTGCACCGAAGAAAGGGGAAGGGGAAGGAATGGCGATGTTTTTGCCGTGAAAGCGCAAGCCTGAGTTTTCTTGGCATTGAACTCAACCAAGTTCCTGGTACCCCATTCGGAAATGTGGTCCAAAGCCTGATTGAGTTCAATGACAAGATTCTCCCGTTTCTCCTTGGTTACCGCCAGCCCAGAAGCTGCTTGTCCGAGATACCCCGCATGCACTGTACTATCGTCTGCATAGCAATGAATATTCCCAAGAGGAATTAAGTCATTGATATGCAGCAGAAAGAGAGTGGGGGATAGGACGGAGCCCTGGGGAACGCCGGCATTCACTGACATGAACCGCGAACTGCTACCATCAGTAAGGACACGAATTCTACGCTCATGCAGGAAGTCAGCCACCCAAGAACAGAACTGGGCTGGCAGACCGTATGCTGGAAGCTTGGAGAGAAGGCTTTTGTGCCATACCCTGTCGAACGCCTTGGCAATGTCAAGGCTGATAGCCAACGACTCGCCACGCTTGTCGATAGCCTTACCCCAGATATGAGTTAAGTACGCTAGAAGATCACCCGTCGATCGTTTCGGTCTAAAACCATATTGACGATCATTAATCAAGGAGTGATCCTCTAGGTAGCGGGTCAGATGGTTATTAAGGACCTTTTCTAAAACTTTACATAAAACTGAGGTGACTGCTATTGGCCGGTAGTTTGCCGGGTCTGAGCGATCCCCTTTTTTGGGCACCGGTTGCACATTAGCATCTCTCCAAGTCTCCGGCACACGCCCCAAAGAATACGAGCATTGGTACAAGCGCGTGAGCACGGGAGACAACTCCGCTGCACATTTTTTTAGTACTACTGCTGGGATGCCATCAGGTCCACTAGCTTTCCGGACGTCGAGTGATTGCAATTCGGCACGAACCTCGCGCTGCCTGATTTTAATATCAGGCATCGTTGTGCCACAGTGAGGTAATGATGGTGGCAGTGCATTGCAATCATCGATTCGGGAGTTAGCCGCAAAGAGTTTTGCCAGTAAATCGGCTTTCTCCTGCGGCTTATGCGCTAGTGTTCCGTCTGGGCATCTCAGAGGTGGCAGCGAGGGCTCGCAGAAGTTTTTTTGCACGGCCTTGGCCAGACGCCAGTAGCTACGGGAGCCCGTAGGATGCGTCATAAGTTCCTGGCCAACACGTGCAACGCGCTGGGCATCCGCTCTAATGTAAGCCTTCTTACAGGCCTTGGAAGCAAAATTGTAGGCTGCTTTGAGTGAATCGACCTCGGGATCCTTGAGAGCGCGACCTCTGATCCAAGCACGATATGCCGCTTGCTTACGCGAAGCAGCTTCAGCACAGTCGTGATTGAACCAGAGGTTACGCGTGCCCTTACTGATGAGATCAGAATGAGGAATATAGTATTCCATACCCATTATAATCTCCTCAGTAATGGCAACGGCACTGGCCAATAGGTCCCTGTCACTGAAGCAGCGCTGCTTCCAAGGGACGGACGCAAAGTAGTCACGCATACCGTCCCAATCTGCCGACCCATAATGCCAGATACGGCGCTTGACCACTGCTGGACGCGGAGGCTTGGCCTGTGGTGCTTTGGCAGATATCAGGCAGTGGTCTGACGAGCCCAGGGGGGCTCTTACCACAACCTGATAGCCCTGTGGATGGGTCGTGAGCAGAAGGTCCAGTAAAGAAGGCGCTTGACTTGGAATATCTGGGATCCTGGTGGGCTGATCAACCAGTTGCTTCAAGTCATGCGTGAGAGCGAATGCGTGAGCAGAGATCCCTGCATGGTCAGTTTTGGAAGAACTTAACCACCAATTGTGGTGAGCATTAAAGTCCCCCAAAACACCAATTCTGCATTGGGAAATTGTTCCTGCGCGTCATCTGCTGCCCGACTAAGGTGCTCAAAAAGTCGAGTTGTCTCAACATCGCCGGTGTGGGATCTGTAGAGACACACGTAAACTCTGGCCAGGGGGCCAGAGTCAACGTGTACCCCCAGCATGGAGAAGGAGGGATCTTCCAAGCAGCGGAGACGGCGACAACAAACATCCGCCCGAACATACAGGCATACACCGGCTTTTGCTTTGAAGGACTCTTCAAGCACGTAGCCGGGATAATTAAGGTAGCCTGTGTCAGCAGGCGGAAGTATTTGTGTCTCCGTCAGGAACAACAATGCTGGCCGTGCTGTCTCAAGATGGTGGTGGACAGCGTTGAGGCTCCACTCTAAGTGGAGTCCGCGTATGTTGCAGAACTCGACCTCAAACAGCGTTGAAGGCGTGGGGGTGTGCACCGCTGACCGTCCAAACTTTGTTTTAGGAGCTGCCATTATGGAAGTGAAAAAGAGACGTGAAACGAGTGGACGTTGTCGCGACAAGACCGGGCAAATTAGGGAGGCATGTTTCCCCGAATGATTGCCTGCAGAGGATATACGCCGACCCGCTGGACGGAAGGGCCCCCGCACCCCCCCGGAAGTGGCCGCCGGGACCCCACGCCCCGGTCACCAACCGGCACGATGGTCCACCCCGAGATTATGCGTGACATGATGGGGCAGCCTCGCGAACTGGTTAGGAACGCTCGGGCCCCTGTACTGTGCCACGGGCGGCCAGCGGGACAGTCCTCCCGGCATCGGTTCCACGGATGCCTAGCCCTGGACCGAATCCGTCGCGACAACCTCCACTCGAGCCCTGGTTGTACGCTGGCTGACCCCGAAACGCGCAAGAAGCACTTCACGGGTTTTTCACCATGCGCACGGTGGTAACAAACCAGGCGGGTGTTAGGCACCCTACCACCAGCAGAGCGGATGGAAGCTCCGATATCCCTTAGTCGCCTCTTACGACACCCACGGGAAGAGAAGGGGCGGTGAGTTGTATTCTTTCTCCGTCACCGCACGGATAGCTAAATATTTGGAACGGAGCTAATGAGTTGTCAAAAATTAACCGAAAACAATACTCTGCTCCCGCGCGGGGGTATTTGTTTACGTGTTTTCCATCGGGCTCGGAAAGCAAAAACTTTATTGATGCAAACAAATAAGTTAAGTGATATAATGTTTTGTGTAGACTGTTTTGTTGATATGTTTTTGTTGATTGTGTAGGGCAAAACACACTGTTGACCCGGCTTTACATATAACCTTAATAGAATCTTTCAGAAAACGGACAAAGGTCAAATAATTGGGTGTTTTCCACATATTGAGCTTTTTCCCCAGACATGTCTAAAAATATTTTTCATGTTGTATACTTACTCAATAACAAAATGTACCTACAGCTTATATGCCAAAAGAAAATATGTATATGATATATATATTTTTTGTTAAAAGGGTAGCAAACAAGCGTGTGGTCCGCCTGATGGTAAGCGGCCACCACAGCCTATGGAATAGACTTGCGACACCA